CCAGGCAGGGAGCGTGGTGGAGGCCAAGCCTCTCCTGTGTGCTCCAGCACGGCTGCAGCTTTGCTCAAGACCTTGTGCTCTCCTGTGCCCTTTCTGCAGGAGGTTCGGCTGAGGACCGTGTAGGAACCGGGCTGGCAGTGACTGCGGCACTGAGGACTTGTCCACCAGCGCCCAAAAGCACCATCACGGTGGACATGAAGCTTGGGGACCACATCAGGCAGCAGCTCCCAGGGAGCTGCAGAGACCTCCCCGGCTGCACCCCCCGGTACACCTCTTCTCCAGAGGTTGAGTAGCTCCTCCGCGCTCTCCCCAGGTGCCTACTGCTATGATTCTGCCCTAAAAAAAAACCAAACTGGGAGAAGCAGCACTTTTACTTCTGTTTCTCCGCCTGACTCGGGCTTCCTCCGCGCAGTGAGCAGAGCTTGCAGGGCAGCGAGGACACCCTCCGTGCTCCTGGCACGGAAACCCATCATGGTCGCCTCGCCCACCTGCCTTGAGCACACGTGGGGACAACAGGGACCTCCGTCCATACGGAGGTGGCACGTACGCGTTTGGGGCAAGGAGGGCACTGCGTTTATTACCGCTCTATCTTCACACACTTGCTTAACCGCTTGTGATAGCATCTTTCTGAGAACTGAAATTCGGAGGCTCAGCTCTGGCCATAGCCGCTTCACCTTTTTAAAAATAGCCGATGGACAAAGATGCTGCCCCCACCCTTCCTGCCTGCGCTTGCAAAAGCCCCCAAGATCTGGAGAGATTGTCTCAGCTAGTTCCTTAAGCAGCCCTGGCTGCGTTTCTTCACCTCTTGCTCACTCCTGTAACTGCTCCAAGGCTATTTCACAGCTTCTCTCCTGGTTCCTTGTTATCCCAGATCCGATCCCCGCTAACCTTGGGCGTAAGGGAGGATGCAAAAGCAGCACTACGGAAGTCCCAGCTTTCTCCACCTCACTGGTTAATGACTCTTTCTTGGTGAAATAACAAGCCAAACTTTTCTTTTTCCTTCCTC